CGTCCGTTTGTGGCAGTGACAAGAGTTTGATGATGAGGACATGACATGTACAGAAACGGGCGGTTGAAAGCATGATACCCCTTGTTTCCTATGAGGCTGCCGCGCGGCTCGAGTGACATCAATGGAGGTTGGATTCAAAATAAAAGACGGCTCAAAGAGAAGAGTCGTCGTCTTTTGGCCTGCCGGATGAATCATGAGGGGAAGCTGATTGACCCCACATCTCCAAGAACTCCAAGACACAGATGTCATCAACCCCACCATCCCGCCTGCATCATTCCAGCAGCAGAGCTTCGCACCAGAACCTACCCGCAGTAAGGCCGACAAGATGAAGCAGAGATTCTCCTCCCTAGATGTCAGGGTACATTTCCACAACCCCCTCAACCCCCTCACAGCCACTGACACCCCCAGGTCATTGCACACGAGCTCTCGGAAGCTCTCGTGTCGTTGCGCCTGGCCAACATCTACGACCTCAACTCCAAGATCCTCCTCCTCAAGTTCGCCAAACCAAACACCAAGCAGCAGCTCCTCATCGAGTCGGGCTTCCGCTGCCACCTGACCGACTTTGCCCGCACCACCGCCCCCGCCCCGAGCAACTTTGTCGTGCGCCTGCGCAAGTTTCTCAAGACGCGCCGTCTGACGTCCGTCGCCCAGATCGGAACCGACCGCATCATCGAGTTCCAGTTCAGCGATGGCGCCTATCGCCTCTACCTCGAGTTCTTTGCCAGCGGCAACATCATCCTGACCGATGCCTCCCTCAACATCCTCACCCTGCTTCGCAACGTCCCCGAGGGCGAGGGACAGGAGCCCCAGCGCGTCGGCCTCACATATACCCTGGAGAACAGACAAAACTTTGGAGGCGTTCCGGACCTCACAAAGGAGAGGCTGCGCACTGCCCTCCAGACGGCCGTCGCCCAGACCGCCACGAGAAAGACAAAGAAAAAGGGGGCCGACGAGCTGAGGAGGGGCCTGGCCACCACCATCACCGAGCTGCCGCCCGTGCTCGTCGACCACGTCTTCCGTCTGACCAGCTTCAACCCGGCCACGAAACCAGCCGAGGTCCTCGAGGACGAGGCGCTGAGCGATGCCCTGTTTGAGGCACTGGGGCGGGCACGCGCGATCCTCGCAGAAATCACGAGCGCGCCGACGTCAAAAGGATACATTATTGCCAAGCCAAATCCTCATGCTCCCAAGGAAGAGGATACTACGCAGGGCGATAAATTCAAAGGACTACTCTACGAAGACTTCCAGCCATTTCTACCCAAGCAGTTTGAGGACGATGCGAATATCAAGGTGCTGTCGTACGATGGATACAACAAGACCGTGGATGAGTTCTTTTCCTCCCTCGAGGGCCAGAGGCTGGAGTCCAAACTACAGGAGCGCGAGGCCACAGCCAAGAAGAAGCTGGAGGCGGCCCGCAGGGACCAGGAAAAGCGGATAGAGGGCTTGCAAGAGGTGCAATATCTCCACCTCCGTAAAGCGGCAGCCATCGAGGCCAACCTGGAAAGAGTGGAAGAGGCCATGGACGCCGTCAACGGCTTGCTGGAGCAGGGAATGGACTGGGATGACGTCAACCGGCTGGTGGAGCGAGAGCAGATGCAGCACAATGCTGTCGCCGAGCTCATCAAGCTGCCTATGAAGCTCAGCCAAAACACCATCACCTTGCTCCTGGGCGAAGAGGAGGAAGAGGACGAGGCCGATGAGGAAATGAACTTCGACTACGAGACCGACGATGAGGCAACGAACGAACCGGAACCCGAAAAGGCAAAGGGCTCCGACAAGCGTCTGGCGGTGGACATCAACCTCAAGCTCACGGCCTGGAACAACGCCAGGGAATACTACGACCAGAAGCGGTCGGCTGCTGGCAAGCAGCAAAAGACCGAGGAGCACTCGGTCCACGCCTTGAAGAGCGCCGAGCAAAAGATTGCCGAGGACCTCAAAAAGGGACTCAAGCAAGAAAAGCCCATTCTTCAGCCGATTCGGAGGCAGATGTGGTTCGAAAAGTTCACCTGGTTCGTCTCGTCGGACGGCTACCTGGTCCTCGGGGGTCGCGACGCCCAGCAGAACGAGATGCTCTACAGGCGTCATCTGAAGAAGGGGGACGTCTATGTCCATGCCGACGTGCACGGGGCGTCGAGTGTGATTATCAAGAACAACCCAAAGACACCGGATGCCCCGATTCCGCCATCGACGTTGGCTCAAGCTGGGCATCTCTCGGTTTGCTGTATGCTTCCCCCGGCCCCACCCCCCCCACGATGAGATGACTGACTCTGTCGCAACAGGCTCGACTGCGTGGGACTCAAAAGCCGGCATGGGCGCATACTGGGTGAATGCCGACCAAGTTTCCAAGGCTGCGCCGGCGGGCGAGTTTCTCCCTGTTGGGTAAGGCTTCTCCGTTTAGATCACAGGAGACATGGCTAACCACTTCAAGCTCCTTCATGGTGCGCGGAAAGCGAAACCTCTTGCCACCCGCTCTCCTGATGCTTGGGTTCGGCTTGCTCTTTAGGGTTTCCGACGAGAGCAAGAGCAAGCATGTCAAACATCGCCTCTACGACACAGATGAGCCTGCCGGCACACCGGCAACGGAGCCAACACAACGAGATGCGACCCCCACCCAGGAAGCCGCAGACTCGGACACGGACGACGACAACGACGACGAGGACCAAGGCGACCTGCAGCAACGAGCCAACCCCCTGCAGTCCAACCCCAACAGCCGTGCACAGGAAGAAACTCCTGCTGACAAGCTCGCCGACCTCTCCCTCACCAAGGACCAAAAACCCACCCCCGAGGCCGAGGAACCCCCCGCCGCCGAGTCCTCTTCCGACTCCGACTCGGAAGACCACGACGAGGCCGTCTCCCGCGCCGACACCACCGCCACGGCCAGCACCTCAACCGCCAACAAGAAACCCCTCAAGCGCGGACAACGCTCCAAGGCCAAAAAGATGGCGACCAAGTACAAGGACCAAGACGACGACGACCGCCAGCTCATGGAATCCCTCCTCGGCGTCACCGCGGCGCGCCAGAAAGCCGAGGCCGCCGCGGCCGCCAAAGCCCAGCGCGAGGCCGAGGCCGCCGCCGCGCAGGAACGCCGGCGCCAGGCGCAGGAGCGCGCCAAGAAGCAGGTGGCCGAGCACGAGGAGGTGCGGCGGCGGCAGATGCTCGAGGAGGGCGGCGCCGAGGCGCCGCTCGACGACGACGAGCAGGGCGGCGACGGCAGCATGGCGCCGCTGGACGGGCTGGTGGGCACGCCGCTGCCAGGCGACGAGATACTCGAGGTGGTGCCCGTGTGCGCGCCGTGGAGCGCCATGGGGCGGATCAAGTACAAGGCGAAGCTGCAGCCGGGGGGGACGAAGAAGGGGAAGGCGGTGCGGGAGGTGGTGGAGCGGTGGAGGCTGGCGGCGGCGAAGAAGGGGGTGGTGGATGAGGAGGCGAGGGATCCCGAGAAGATGTGGCCGAGGGAGGTGGAGCTTATTAAGGGGATGAAGGTCGAGGAGGCGTTTAATTGCGTGCCGGTGGGGAAGGTGACGGTTATGATGGCCGGGGGAGGGGGTGGGGGTGGGGGTGGGGGGTCGGCGAGGGGGCAGAAGAAGGGGGGGAGGGGTGGGAAGGGGTCTAAGAGGTAGTGGGGGGGGGGGGTGTAGCGTGATTGGAGAAAAGCGTTGAATGCCATGCCACGCCATTGGTTTTTACAGTGGTATTTCCAACAACATATCTACAAGACTCGAAAGAAAGGGAATACGTCTCAACGGTACAGCGGTTGCTGCCCGTCTAACTCCGCCGGTGGCCGATCATCATACCCCCCTATTCCGACAGTCGCCTCCAGCTCCGCCCGATAGTAGTGAGAAACAACATCGCTTTTGGCGTCTAGCTCGGACGACGCCTTTATTCCCGGCGGCTGTCCGGCGGCGGCCAGCAGCGCGCTGTTCATCTTCTGCTTCTTCCTGTGCTTAAGGCCCAGCCAGGTGGCAGCGGCGAGCGCGACGGCGGCTAGGGTGATGCTGATGCCGATGCCGATGCTGGTGACGGGGGTAAGGGAGCCGGTGGTGGTGGTGGTGATGGGGGTGTCGTTGTCTTGACTCGGGGTTGGTGTTGGCAGCGGTAGTGGTGGTGGTGATGGTGGGACTGGTGGCGGCGTGAGCGAGGCAGAGGCTGGAGTGGAGGTACTGGTCGTGAACGTCGACGGTGGTGTAGTCGAGAGCACTTCGGACAGCAGAGTTTGGATCGCTTGGGATATGAGCTCGTCACAGGGGGTGTCGGTCTAAGTAGATGGGCGATGGGGTCAGTTAGTAGAAGTTTATGGGTAGGTGCCCGACTTACGCATGTGATGGTGAGCTCCAGGGCGAGGGCGGCGGTCGCGAAGAGGGAGACGATGGCGGCGGAAGTTGGTTTCATTGTGGGCTTTGTAATACCGCGGGCCGGGACTCGCTGGCTGGGGTCTTTGGAGTCAGATGTAGGGGAAGAGGTCACGATCAAGGAGGGACAGAGACCAGACTTATCTTGGGTTCTCTCCCCTTCACCCCTGGGCCTTGCCTATTAGGAAGACGGCTCGCTGTGCTGTGTATATCGAGAGAGCTGAAGGTGGAAAACGCCACCGACCCCCCTGGCTCATGTTATTTTCCAAGCGTGAAAAAGCAAACAGTTTCATCACCGTGTTATCTCTCGACCACCACCAAGATGCGAAATTGTACTGTGTACCTCTCAGGCAGCTTGTCCCGGACGGCTTGGACTTTACAGGCTTCCATGCAACTGGAAAGATATTATATGTAACCCAAAAGGGATGCGGCTTGGTGGGCGCCGTGCTGGCGGGTCCGATCTATGAAGCCACCACGAACCCAGGAAGAAGTATGGAGAGTGCTGTTTTACCAAGTGATATTCACGGGCCCTGGGCTTCTGCAAACCCCTCGCAGATTGGGCCTTTGTAAGTCGCGAGATGGTGTCGCCCCAGTCGAGTTGGTGTTCGTGATAGTTGACGTGGGAGGGCAAAAGCCCAAAAAGAATGGTGGTGGGAAAGCTGGGAATCGAACGCCAGAATCTTTCAGCGTGCCGACGCGAATGCTTTAACCACTAAGCTACAGTCCCTGCTGTTTTTGAATTTGGAGGGGAGTATACCTAGATGTATGCAGTATGCTCCCAGGCGAGGGTATGAGGCGTTCGTGACGTTGAGGTGCAGCGGGAGGGGGGGGGGGGGGGTCACATGTTTTCAGGAAGAGGGGGGCGTAAAGGGACTGGAGATGGAAAAGCATCAAATACCACGCCGTTAGTTTTTACAGTGGTATTATATTCCAGCCAAAATATCTACAAGCCTCGAACCTCTCAACGGTGCGGCGGTTGCTGGCCGTCCAACTCGACCGGTGGATGTAGTTGGTGCCCCCCCATCTCGGCCGGCACCTGGTTTGTATCCGCCTCCAGCTCAGGTCGGTAGTGAGCAGCGGCAGCAGCAGCAGAATCTTTGGCGTCTAGCTCGGGCATCGTCGCCTCTGGCGGCTGTCCGGCAGCTTGGGTGTTCTTCTTCTTCCTGTGCTTGAACACGAACCACGCGGCAACGACGAGCGCGACGACGCCCAGCGCAATGCCGATGCCGATACCAATATCAGCGCCAGAACTCGGGGAACCACTACCACCACTAACACTGCTGACGGCATCCTCGTCTCCAATTGGTGTCGGTGACGGCGGTATATAGCTGAAGGTAGGCGAGTCTGCCCTCGTCGTCGTCGTAAACGTCGACGGAAGGCTCGCGGTCGATGCCGCGGGGCTCGTCACAGCAGTGCTCGACTCCGCGACGGCGACGCAGATGCTATCGATGGCGCCCTGCGCTACGGCGAGGTCCGAGGGGGCACAGGTCGACACGAGGCAGGGGGTGGTAAAGGACGCGATGTTGTAGGCGCACAGGCAGGAGATGTCGGTGCTGGAGCAGCCGCTGGCGGCGATGGCGGTGGTGAGGCAGGAGCCCTGGGGGTGTTAGTACCTATTGGCGTTGGTGGGATGGGCATAGGTCGGGGGTGTGACTTACAGCGCAATCGGGCAGACCGAGACCCTGGCCGAGGCCGGCGGTCGCGAAGAGGGAGAGGAGGAGCGCGGCGGCGGTCTTCATTGGGGTTGGGACTCGCTCCGGCCGGCGCGGTCTTGGGGGATTTGGAGGACGGAGGAAGAGATCGAGAAGAATGGCTGGCCATGCCCCCTTCCCCTCCCCCCAGCCTTGCCTTGCGCAAGTTGCAGGACGACCGCCAAGTATTCGATGGCAGCGCTCTCATGCGGCATCGTGGGAAGCTGAAAGTAGAAACAGAAAACGCCACCGGCCGCTGTGATTCGCCGATGAGAGAGGGGGACGAGCGTTGGTGTGTCTTATCAACGGTCGAAACCAAGATTTGACGTAGTAAATGATTTGTCGCGGAAGGCTTGGGCCATACCATGCCGCTGGACGGGTGTTGTATAAGCCCTGAATGGATGCGGCTCTGTGGGCTGTGCTGTCTTGCGTGCTGGGTGCCTGAGTGTTTGAGCCACCACGATGTCCTATTGTGTATTCCGTATGTACGTATATCCAGGTACCTATGCAACAGCCGGGCCCGGTCCGTCCCAGAGCCTCCTCTCCCGGCATCGCGCTTGTCGTGCAAATGGACCCAAGCCGTGCTTCTCCCAGGCGGCCGCTGGACATTCAACCCCCCAGTGCTCCATGCTCCGTCGTCACCAGAAGCCAACAGTGCAAGCCTCCCCCGGGTATAGTTCCGTCATCCCCATCAACACCGTGCCGACTCGCCAGTCAGTCAATCCAACATGGCGCAGCCCCCCAAGCTCAAGCCAAAACCATCATCGCCAACCCGCTGAAAGTAAACCCAAACATAAATCGAACCCGCTCATCATAGGGTGCTCATGCCGATCGCGCAGGTCTACACCATCGTCAGAACATAATTCCCATCCAAGAGAAGGAAGGAGAAAACGTACCCGCACCCCTGGGGTGTAGTCACGCCAAAGAAGCAGTCGTCGGCCGCCTTGGGGATGACCTGGTCCGGGCGGATGGGGGTGATGACGACGCCGGCGGCGACGAGGGAGACGAGGCCCGTCGTGAGGGTGAGGAGGAGGGTAGCGAGCTGCATTTTGGAGCCGGGTGATGTCTGTTCTTTGGCGATTTTCGGTGTCGGGAGGTTGCAGAGGCGTTGCGGCGTGGGATGAATGAATGTAGATATGTACAAAAGATGTTCAGACCAGCTGTTTGGAGAAGTGAAATCGTCGACGGCGGCGGGATCAAGAGTCGGAATGGATGATGATGATCAACATGGAGAAAAAGACGGAAAGGGAAGAAATGGGAATGAGGGACAGAGGGAGTTGGAATCGCGGTCGGTCAGGCCAAGTTGGATCTGAAACCCGTCGGCGGGTCACAGAGGGCCCAAGGGGCGGCGAGGGTTTGGAGTTTCAGACCCGACATGGAGGCTACACGACAAAGTCGCACCCGATGGAGCGTCACGTGGCATTGCGGTGGGGAAGAGGGTGATGGCTGATTGAGCTATGGGATTGAGTGAGTGATTGATTGATTTCCAGACAAAAATGAGATGTTCTTGAAGTTTGTTCGGTTGTCGAAAAAAAAGAGGTGATGATGAGGTGGTGCCATTCGGAGATGGTCGAGTTTCATCGCGGTTGAGGTGGACAGGAGGCAGCGTTTAGGTAAGCCAGCAGGGGTGCACAGACGCGTGGCTGGGTTCCGTGGCTGACGTCCCGTATGTGGCTGGTGCTGAACCCCCTCTCGACGACGGCGAGCCTCGTGGACGGGAACTACCCCGACGCTGGACATCATTTCTGGGGAATTATCAAAATGCCATCGTCTCGATCATGGACCCCCAGCAGCAACCCTCTCCCTACGTGGAAAAAATCAACGCCATATTTGCAACCTCGAACCCCCCCCTGAACCAGACACTCGTCGACGTCTCCCCTTCCAACGCCCAATCTCTCATCTCGGCCGCCGTCGCAGAGTTCTCGGATCCCGTCCGCGCTAGAGATATTCTCGCCCGCCTGCACTCCCTCAACCCGTCCATGGCAGCATTCTTCCATCCCAAGCAACATGTCCTGTCCCATCTCCCCCTCCGTGTCATCGTGCCCAACCGGGAAACAGGCAGCAGCCCCCCTCCTGCTGCACAACACATCCCAATCGTCTCCTACATCGCCGTCTCGTACTGCTGGCATTCCCCCGAATGGTCCGTAGCCCGTCGCCCCCCGCCCCCCATTGCTCCGGGGTGGAAGATTTCCCTCCCCATGGTCGACGCCATCACGAGGTGGGTCCGCCCCCCGTCCGCCGACGGTGTCGAAGGGATCTGGCTGGACCAGGTCTGCATCAACCAGGAAGACGAGGCCGAGAAGGCCCACCTCATCGGCGCCATGGACATCATCTACCGCTCTGCCAGACGCCTGGTGGTCCTTCTGGAGGACGTGCAGTTGTCGGTGGATGAGCAGCGGGCTGCGCTGCAGTACGCGTTGTGGTATCAGGAAAGGCTGTTGATGGGAAAAGATGCGAGTAGCTCCGCCACAGGCGACATGGACACGTTCCGCGGAGTGTTCGACTATATCCTCAGCAAAGAGAAGGAGGTGAATGCATCTGGCGAACCCGGGCTGTTAAAAGGCGCAATGGACTTTGTCGCCAAGGTCATCTCTGTGAGATGGTTCTACCGCGCCTGGTGCATACATGAGAGACGGGTCGGTGACTACGGGGTGTACGGCACTAACACGCCCATGTTGTTGATGTTTGGGAGCGATGGTGAGGTGCTGGCGTTGGAGTATGGTGATTTCATGTTCATCTGGATGCACGTCAATGGGATTTCGAGGGACCCAAGCGACATCCCTGACGATGAGTCGGCTTCAATGATACACCAGTCCTACTTGTTGAACATCGACGACGCTTCCGACGGGACGGTGTCCCTGATGCAACATCTCGCGGCCCTCTCGACAACCGACTGCTCACACAAGCGCGACCTTTTGTCGATTGTATTAAACATCGCGAGGGTACCGCTTTGGTGGGATGCCGACATCAAAGACGAACGTGATCTGGTCTACATCACGTCTTTGCTGGCTATAGCGGCCGGCGATGTGGCCCCCTTGGTCGCCTGTAGGGGATGGGTACTCGCCGATGGTGAATATGGTGAAGACAAGGCCAAGGTTTCGGCACTGGACGACCACTCCATTATACTCGAGGCCTCTGCTCAGCCCAAGATACCACTCGCCCTTCCAAACTCAATAACGAGCGTGACTCGCGACTACATTGAGCTGGACCTGCTCGTCTTTTCGTCCACGCCGACCGCCCCGAGTCAAGCAGCATCCGAGGCGGCATCCCGAATCTTCAGAGATCACATGCATGACCTCTTCGTCCTAGCCGAAGAGTACACCTCTGCCCTCAAACTCACACCAAACGCGCTTGAGATCATTAGTGATTTAGACAAGGGTACACATCGCGCCTTGATACATGCCTGGCTTGCCCTCGCCCTCGACTGCGGTATCGCCTGGACCCTACGCTTCACCAGCGCAATGAGAAAGGGGACTATTGCGTCCCCGGCCTTCGGAGCCCTGCCTTCCACTAGCACCAGCTCGCTCAAACAAGCAGCAACATCCCTCCTGAGCCACTTCCACGCTGCGACCAACGACAGCACCAACCTCGACAAAGCCATGGGTTTTCTCTCCTGCATCGTCGACCCAAGACTCGCCAATTATGGCCTTACGCCGCGACACATCCCATGGGGACCCAAACTCGATGACTTCGCCATCACCCCCGCAGCAGTCGGTCGGTTCTGGTTCGCCGTCCCCCTGGCCATCGCCATCCCCCACCTTCCATTCCGCTTCCTGAAAGCGTGGATCATAGAGCCATTCGACCCATGTTCCGCAAAGGAGAAGAAGGCCGAAAACACTCAGGAATTGCTCCCCATCGATGGCAACAACCGGATACCGCGCGACGACGCTCGCGCGACATGGCGACTACGAGATCGCGACACTATCTTTGGATGCGGGCCGTGGAACACAGATGAGATCCTCTCTGCGTGCGAGGGAGCGGGGGAGGGTGCGGAGGTGGTGTTGCTGCGACGGCAGAAGGTGTATAGGCCGGGGTA